TATTGGTAAGAGGATAACAAAATGCCACTCGTTCCCAGGACAACAGATGTTGCTGTCACATCTCATGCGTAATGTGAGAAGAGTACATGAACGTGTGGGAATTATTGATGGTAATTGTTGCAAAGCACTCCTAAATCTGCTTGCTTTCCATGTCTGTACTCAGCAGCAGTACGCATTATTGGTATAGGTGCTTCCACAGCTTTTCCTCCCATTATCAAATTTTCTATCTTCTTCTCCTGATAAATGGGATGGTAACTCTCCATTGTTTTCCCAAGTCATTTTCCTTGATGTGTTGAGTCCCACGAGTGCTAGCCAGCAACTTCACTATAGACCTGTGCCAGCTAAGCCTGTCTTCATCTCATGACAGAGTTCAAAGATGTTGAACAAGAGCTGGATTTTGTGGATTGGATTTCATGCTTGCTCAACAGCACTGAAGTCAATTGGGAGTCCTTAAATGGACTTTAAAAACAGGCTGTACAAATAGACCTTTCTGGAAAAAGAAGTTTGTAATGTGCAAAGTGATAGTCCCATTTCCTTTCCTCTGTCAATCATACATTGGCATTAGTGCAAAAAAAGGATGGATTGCAGTGAACTCACGAGACAATGTGAACAAGTTAGCTCCAGCAAAGTGCCTGGATTGACTTAAAGATAATTTGTTAATTCAAAATTGGAAAAGTGTTTACCTTTATTGGTCAGTGCATTGAGTGTAAGAGTTGGGAGGTCATGTTGCAGCTGTACAGGACATTGGTTAGGCCAATTTTGGAATACTGTGTTCAATTCTGGTCTCTCTGATATGGAAAGACGTCGTTAAACTTGAAAAGGTGCTGAAAAGATTTACAAGGATGTTGGCAGGGTTGGAGGGTTCGAGCTATGCAGAGAGGCTGAATAGGCTGGGGCTATTTTCCCTGGAGCATGGGAGGCTGAGGGATGACCTTGTAGAGGTTTATAAAATCATGAAGAGCATGGATAGGTTGATTAGTCAAAGTCCTTTTCCCTGGGTAAGGGAGTCAAAAGCTAGACTGTATAGGTTTAAGGTGAGAGGGGTAAGATTTAAAAGGGACCCAAGGGGATTTTCCGCACAGAGGGTGGTGCGTGTATGGAATGATCTGCCAGAGGAAGTGGTGGAGGCGGGTACAATTAGAACATTTAAAAAGCATCTGGATGGGTATATGAATAGGAAGAGTTTAGAGGGATGTGGGCCAAATGCTGGCAAATGGGACTAGATTAATTTAGGATATCTGGTCAGCTTAAACGAGTTGGACCAAAGGGTCTGTTTCCGTGCTGTACATCTCTGACTCTATGGCTCTATTTCTCATTATCACATTGGGTTCTTTCGAACTACAGCCTAGGGAAAAATAATAATTCTGGAAACTGGGGAAAGAATTCACGGGAGTAAATGTACAAAACATCAACACATAGTAAAACAAGCATTTATTACCCAAAAATAATATGAAACTGGGACTGTTGCCTGTATTAGCTGATGCACTGACTGTGAGAGCTGGGAGATTATGCTGGAATTGTTTAAAATACTGGTTAGGCGACAGGTAGAGTACTGTGTGTATTCTGCTAACCATACTATAGGAACTACAGGATTTCACTGGTACGAGTACAGAGGAGATTTATCCAAGATGTTCCTTGGACTGGAGAGTTTTAGTTATGAGCAAAGATTGGATAAGCATGGGTTGTTTTCTTTGAAATGGAGGAGGCTGAGGGGAGATAGATGAGGGATATAGATAGAGTAGAAAGGCATGCCCTATTCAATTTGCTTCAGGGGTTCATAACCAGGGGACATAGATTTAGGGTTTAATAAAAAAGAAAGGATTCATGTGGAAGTTCTCTCACTCAGAGCTCTGTGGGGACGTGGAGCTCCCTGTCTGAAAGGAAGGAAGACAGATAGAAATTCATACATTTACAAACTACTTCAATATGCCTTTAATGTGCCATATAATTACAAAGGCTAAAAAGAGCTGGGAAGAGGGATTAAGCTTATTTTTGGTGCATGCATAATAGGTCAAATCACCTTCCTTGCAATTTTTGTCATGTCATTGTGATAAATATTTCAGTATTTCTGCATGAGAGTCTTCTGTCCACTGTTCTGATCGAGGTCCTAACCCAGTTATTTAACATTGCTACAAAAGAGCATGGCATAACATGCTTTCAAGGCCCACAGTTCATTGGCATCATCTTTTGGTCAGGTGTTTTATTTTTACCCTTGTCTGTGGATCCTCGTGCCTTCAAATAAACTGTCCAGGAAAATAAGAGTAATCCTCTTGGGCCTCTGTACTCTACATCCCAAAAGTAAACATTAGGATGACTTCCACCCAGAGGGGTGAGGTGACCCCTCTGATTTTCCTACCCTTATTCTAACCTCTCAGTTCACCATCAATAGGTGAAACAAGTAAAAGCCTTTGATGTGAAGATCAGTGAGCTAGCAACACTACTGCATTGCTCTGATTTTTCTTTTTATTATTCAGCAGGAGAATTGGTGCCCAAGGGTATAATAAAGCTGGTGTTAAGCAAATTTTTCTGTCAGATATGCAAACAGACTTTTCCCTATAATATGACAGTAGTATCTGTTGAACAACATCACTGCTAGCCTGCAACTATATTCCTCCGTAACCCTGGGGAGGGGAAATCACCAATTCTCCTGAATGACAAAGAACTCCCAACAAATGTGGGACATGAAAGGAAGCCTACTCGGCTGTTAAGTAAAAACCAAGGTGCATGCATAATGGGTCAAATAATCTTCCTTGCTGCAAAATTAGTGATATATATTTCTATATTTCTGCATGCATAGTCTTCTGTCCACTGTTCTGATCGAGGTCCTAGCCAAGTTCTGAGGAAGGGTCACCGGACACAAAATGTTAACTCTGATTTCTCTCCACAGATGCTATCAGACATGTTGAGTTTTTCCAGCAACTTCTGTTTTTGTACTTGGATATTAATACTAATTTAAACTAATTTTTGAAATTCAGGTCAGTACAAAAGGAACAGATTTTGTTTCCTAATGAGTAACTTCCTCATTGTTTGCACTCGTAATCTCAATAATAATTTAGCTCTTAAGGGTTTACAAAAGCCAAAACATTGACTACAAAACACGTCAACTCAAATTCTATAGGGACAGAAAAGAAAAATGTGATCAATGAGAAACTTGGTCATAATATCCAGAATGTGTAGAGTTGGCTGAATGGCCTTCAGCTGCACTATGATCCAATGATGCTTTGTTTGAATGGTCAGGCACAGGAGTACAGCACATTTATGTAATTTCATTTTTACATTAGATTTGTGTTCATCAACATCTCTGGTGGATTATTCACATATAGAAGAGACTGACCTGAAGATTCCCAGGTTTCAGCTGATGGTGAAAACATGTCTGCCAAATTGAGAGAAACTCTCCCAACATTTTTGATGGTTAAGGGAATGTGCATGCAGCAACATAATATGATATCCCTATACATTGAGGAGAGGTACTCAATATGCCCACTTGCACCTTGTCTTGCACTCTATCAGCCTTGACCACCCTTTGTCAACCGTTAGAGGCAGTTAAAATATTTTCTAAGCAATCTGTTCAGGGGTGTTAGCTATTACACCCCCCTGGAGCAGGTGGGATTTGAACCCAAGCCTTCAGTTCTAAGGGTAAGAGACACTACCACTGTGCCACAAGACAGCCCTCAGAGACAATTTTTTTTAATTAACCTAGTTTTCTAATCAGTTATTAATACACCTCTGGAGCAGGTGGGACTTGAACCTGACCCTCACAGTCCAGCGGTAGGGACACTACCACTGCACCACAAAAGAACTTCCCTCTTTAAGGCAGGTAATGCTCAGATGGGTTATACTTTTCAGCTGTTCTTAGTATACTGTCAATTTCCCCTGACCAGTGAAAAGAGCAGAAGGGGCGTTGGGAGTACAAAACAGCTTCTATTAGGGTACAGTATTAAAATGCTTTAACATTAAAACTGTGTGCTTATGCCAATCTCAAAGTTTTACTGTATGCCAATAGTTCCACATACCCTCTAATCTCTGTGGTTCCAATAATTTTCAGATTCTTTTCCTAAATGTAAACTGTAATTGCTTCATGCTTGTCTTGAATCTTGAATCCTGAATTAATGTTTAAATCAATCTTTCTACATTTGGGAACCAAACATCTGACGATGTTTCCCAGTTACAGTTATTAGGCCACCTAGGGCCTCATTAGTGTTTCAGGATTTTGTCACTTGTCTTTGACCATTTCTTCCAAATCCCCAACTGAACAAACCTTGTAATATTTACACTGACTAAGCAACTCAGTAGCAGCTGGAGAAAGATTGGAAGATCATTATTGAAATTGCAGCTTCACTGGTGAAGTATTTTCCATCCCCAGAATGTACTTTCTGCAGTAAATGTTTGCACTATTTTTAAAATCAGGTTTTAGCAGCATTAATTACATGTATTTTTTTGATAAAGACAGCGTCAAGCCTTCAGTAACCAGACACAACCATATTTTATCCCTCATGAAAACATAAAATACTAGAAAATCTAAGCAGATCTTGCAGTATCTGTGGAGAGAGGAAGATAGTTAACAATTTGGGTCCAGTCTGACTCTTCTTCAGAACTGAAAAGAGCTGGAAAATGGTGATTTTATGCTGTAGAGAGGGAGAAGGAACAAGTGGAACAGATTGTGGGAGTGCCCACAGCAAAAGCCAAAGGCAGTCACTGGACATTAACTCTGATTTTCTCTTCACAGATGCTGCCAGACCAGCTGAGCTTTTCCAGTAACTTCTGTTTTTGTTCCTGATTCACTGTATCCACAGTTGGTGATGAGCTTTTTGTTTTAAAAACAGATGTAAATGTTAGTTGTGGAAAAGAGAAAATGAGAGAAATAGCCACAAGATACAAACAAGGCCAGTAGAGGATGGGGAATGTAAGAAAAATGGAGTGCAAAGGTCATACTCTGAAGTTGTGGAACTCAATGCTGCGTCCTAGAGGCTGTAAAGTCCCTAAGCGGAAAATGGGGTGTTGTTCCATCTGCATCCCTGGCTGATTTGTTCTTTCCCTGTATTGATGCCAGTGTAATCTGTTAATTCAGCACCAGAGATTAAATTTTCTCTGTAAGTAAATAAGAAATGCAGTTAATAACAGATCCAATCGGCAAAGGGAAATGTTACCAATGATTTTAGTTTTTCAATGACTTTCAAGTCTATTTCAAGAACTATTTCAAGAAGCATTTTCTTGTTTTAAAATTCTTAAAGCCCATTTGAATGGTCTGTTGTGAAGAATCTAGACTTGCCAACTCTGATCAGACATTAACTGAAATCTTTATTATTAATTCATTATTACATTAACTTTTATAAACTCTTTTTTAAAATGACCCTGTAACTTTTCCACCAGATTTCTCAATTTTTTTTCATGGAATGTGTGCACAGTTGGGGATTTTGTTGTGAAGTTGGTGGTGAGCTGTTTTCTTGAACTGTTGCAGTCTATTTTGTGCACATACATACATGGTGCTGTCAGGAAAGGTGTTGTCGGTTTTTGGCCCAGTGAAGGAATAGTGATAAAACTCCAAGTCAGAATGGTGCGATTTGGAAGGTGATGGTGTTGCCATGTATCTTCCACTCGCATTCTTCATAGAATTACAGAAGGAGCTCAGAAGGAGGCCATTTGGCTCACAATGACTGCACCAGTTCTCCAATGAGCATTATGACTTAGGGCCATTTGCCTTTTCCCCATACCCTTGCACATTAGAAGATGGTTTTAAAAGAAACAATGCCCTCTTCAATGCCTCAATTAACTCTGTCCCCACCATACTTCCAGGTAGTACATTCCGGACTCAAGCCACTCACTGTTAGAAGGTACTGTCAAAGGAGCCTTGGGAGTTGCTGCAGTGCATTTTGTTGATGGTACGCATTGTTGCCACTGCTTGGTGGTGCAGAAGTAAATGTTTATGGTGGTGGCTGGAGTACCATTCAAGCAGCTACTCTTCCCGGATGATGTCAAGCATCTTGAGTGTGCACTTGCACATATCCAGGCAGGTGGAGAGTATTCCAACACACTCCAAATGGTGCATAGGCTATAGGGAGTCAGGAAATGAGTTAACATGCCTCATAACTCCTTGTATCCAACCTGTTGTTGTATTTAGAGCATTTATATGGCTGGTCCAGTCAAGTTTCTGGTCATCAATAACCAAGGATGTTGATGGTCATGCCATTGAATGTCAAGAAGACATAGTTAGATTCTCCACTCTTGTTGGTGATGATCATTGCTTGGCACTAGTATGGTGCAAATGTTACCTGCCACTTATTGGCCCAAGCCTGAATGTTGCCTTAACTTTGCTGCATACGGACATAGAGATGTACAGAAACTCGTTCATGCCAACCAGATATCCTAAATTAATCGAGTCCCATTTGCCTACATTTGGCCTATATCCCTCTAAACCCTTTTGTTATTGTTTTATATTCTGTCCAATTTCTTGCTTGCCTAATTCCTATATCTGAAGAACTGTGAATGATACTGAGCACAGTGCAAATGTCTGCGAAAATCTCTGCTTGCAATCTTTTGATGGAGGCAAGATCATTAATGAAGCTTCTCCAGGCTAGGGTACTACCCTAGCAATGTCCTATGATCAAGATCATTAGCCTCCAACTACAAGTATCTTCCTTTGTGCTGAGTGTTACTCCAAACAGTGCAGAATTTTCCCCAGGAGCCCACTGACTTCAATTTTAATACGGCTTCTTGATACCAGGCTAAGTCAAACGTTGTCTTGCTGTAAAAGCAGTCACACAAATCTCATTATTATATCATATGGACCTGGAGATTAATGCTAAATGTCAGGAGAAATAACTGGAAGATTTGTAAACCCAAATGCAACTCCAGTGACTGACTGAAGGACAGCCCTTCATCTAAATGGCACAATCTACCTCATTCCATCCACACTGAGAAAGGATACAGTTCTCTGGCCTAATGTGGGGCTTTAAATATGAAGTTGCCACACTGAGTATTATCCTACCTGTTTTCACACTATACTTGATAACATCCTGACAACGTTGTAGCAGCTGATGATGAGATTCTCCTGTGTCCCTCAATTCCAGGTCAAGAAGTTTCATCAGCTCTTCTGGAGGCTGCCATTCACACACCTTAAAGTACATACAAAATTAGGGACAATGTAAACACAGGAAAATGTCAAGTGACAAGTCTGAGAGATTTCTTCTGGCTTAATTGGAAATGAAAATCTGGTAATTTAAAGCATTAATGGTCACTTTCCTTTTCAAAAAGCACTTTGATGAAATATGCCATTTTAAAGTCATGCTATCGTCATTAAATAATATATTATTTACAGTTAAGGAAGAAAACTTAGGCATTTTTAGAAATATTTTGATCATAACAAGAGTTCCTCATTTTACAGTTGGAGGACCTAGGAAATGCAAAACTCAGAATGTTGGTTTAACATTAGTAGATGGTACAAATTGATTGTGTTTTTGGAATTCTGTGAGTTGTTTTAGTTAGAATGTTGTTGATTATTTCAGAACGCTGTGGATGATCTCAGCTGTTACGATAGAATTTAACACAGCTGTGGAAAAAAAGGACAGAGTTTTCAGAGCAAGTTGTTGCATGTGGATGGCCTGAAGCCTCCTGAGGTAGAAACAATTAAAACACTTTTATTAAGCTTTGTAGTTATAGTGCAGGGAAAAGCCTCAAGGAAGAGCTGTATGACGGTAATAACATTATCACATTATGACAGAGACACACTGAGTGCCCTCTTCACTTTTATATTCAATGCAACAAGCTGATAATCATAAAATCCAATAAGAAATCATCAAGCTATGATTAAAATTGATCGAAGGAAAGATGTTGAGAAGCTCTTTTCAACCACATCTCAAGAATACTAAATCTGACAAATAACAATAGGAAATTACTAAATGCTGCATCCTTCTCCCATTAGGATGTACTATCATTAGAACGTGATTCTACATAGTTATTCAACATTAAGAGCAAGATCTGAAATCCAATGGATAACAAATTCATTCAAGATCAATTTGGTTTAAAGATTTTTAAAAAATGCATATATGTATCACTACCTGGATAGTGACATTTCATCAATGGAAAATGACAGTCTTTGTGACAAATCCTATAAAGTTGGTGCTCAATTGCTGAAGACTTGCATTTGCTAAAGTGTTTCAATATATTGCTACTGATACACTGCATGACTGATTATTACTTTGTGTTTGTACCTTTTCATTGACATCAGTTGCTTTCTTTATGGCATCTTCCATGATGATTGGGAATGCCTCCTCAACAAACTTCTCTCCTGCTTTTGCATCCAGAAGAGGCCCATTCAAGACCACGCCATCCACCAGGATCGCACCCTTTTTAAGGTAGTGATCATTGGTTAACTCATCTACATTGAAAAATAACAAGATAGTTTTGGTGTCCGAACAGACAGCAATACAATCGAATCATAGAAGTGACCATGCACACTGAATATCATTCATATGTAAAATTCAAAAGTGTTATCAATAGAATCCTCCTGTTCTACATTTCATTCCCCAAAATTGAACAATGAATAACTGGCTAGTACAGTTAATACCACAAGGCTACTCTATAGAAGAGACATGCCAAAAAAACTCACTTTGACGAGAGAAAAGTTTTACTCTCACATGATCTTATTGGACAAAATGAAAGCTGGAGCACCTTTCCTGGTTTCTATTCCTTTGAAACTGCTATGATTCTAACTTATTATTCGTCTTCCTCTTTCCACCTTCTGACTTGCTTTCTGCCTCCAGATTCAAATCTGCTGCATAGAGTAAATCAATGGAAGAATTCAATGGAACTCTTTTGAAATAATTAACACCGAGGCTAGTATCCCATTACCAAGTCACCCTTTATTTACATGTGCACAGTACATGGGCTCTGACCAGCCAGCTCAGAGTCAGTCCCTAGAATGAGAAGACTTTCTACATCTCCAGTTTATATCTACAAGCCAGGGCTGCCTGATTAGCCCAGGTTAACAACTCCAATCAAAGACTGCAAAGCCAATAAGATCTTCATTCCAATCACTACATTTTTACAAAATAAAAACCGAAAGAACTGCGGATGCTGTAAATCAGGTATAAAAACAAAGTTGCCGGAAAAGCTCAGCTGGTCTGGCAACATCTATGAAGGAAAAAACTGAGTTGCATATCTCGAAGAGTTCTGAAGAAGGGTCACCAGATCCGAAACGTTAACTCTGTTTTTTTCCTTCACAGATGCTGCTAGACCTGCTGAGCTTTTCCAGCAACTTTGTTTTTGTACTACATTTTACAGTTGATTATAATCATGAACATGGTGTGAGGGACTGAATCAGGTGACAGTTTGCTCTGCCTCTCAGTCTGGCAAAAATAGGCTTTTGTTCTGTCCTCTCAGAAACTTCACCAAGTGCTGACTAATGAACACACAACCTTAATTCAAGACTACAATTTATACATTAAGTACAAATTATATGCGTTAATGAGTTTAAATGATTGAACTTACAATGCTTCTGAGCTAAGAACTAGATCTAAAATGTGTCTTACATGGTTGATTTTATTATGAACAGTGGAAGGGAACAGTTTTAAACATGAGGAATACTAGTAATGAATTAGCTAGGAAGAGCTGACATGAACACAATGGATAGAATTTCAATTAACAGACTGTTCCCAGCAGAAAAAGTTGTTCAAGATCCCACTTATCATTACAACTTTGTCATAGCCCTTTAACTCAGGCACAGTATTACATTCTGTTTCTGTGTTTTGCAACCAGTCTCAGAGGGGGCATGTCATGATAACTGCATCTATCAAAAAAGGATTTCTAAAAAAAAAAGTAGGGTTTGGGTAGAAAATTGTTCAATGTGCTTGCTGTACAGTTAATAATTCCACAGCATATGGCAGAAATGTTTTTTAGATTTCCCACCCTCCTACCAATATCTCCCACAGCATCCTCCAATCCAGTAGAGACTCACATAATTTAAATTCCAACCTAATAAGTCTGAAATCTGATTGGTTCCCAACTAAATTTTTCCCAACATCTATCACACTACAACAATAGAGCAAAAGTAGAAAAGATGTCACCAGAAGATTATATAAGAAATATTACATTACTTCAATATAATCTACATCAAATATAATATGACCATCACATTTTGTATAAGATCGGGGCAGCTTGGTGGCTCAATGGTTAGCCCTGCTGCCTCACAGCGCCAGGGACCCGGGATCAAATCCAGCCTCAGGCCACTGTCTGTGTAGAGCTTGCACATTCTCCTGTGTCTGAAAAAGGGTAACACTCAAAACGTTGACTGCTCCTTTCCTCCAGGTGCTGCCTGCCCTGTTGTGTTCTTCCAGCCTCTTGTTTGTCTGCTCCTGTGTTTGTGTGGGATTCCTCCCGGTGCTCCAGTTTCCTCCCAGAGTCCAAAGATGTGCAGGTTAGGTGGACTGGAAGTGCTAAATTATCCATACCATCGAGGAATGTGCAGACTAGGGGGATTAGTCATGGGCATTACAGGGATAGGGTAGGGAGGTGGCTTGGGGGGGATGCTCTTTGGAGAGTCAGTGTAGACTCAATGCGCCAACTGGCTTGCTTCCACACTATAGGGATTCGCTGATTTGAATGTGTGTGTGTGTAACCCAACTCTAAGCAAAAGAGAATGGAGTTCAAATGAAGGACAGCTGGAATATCCATTACATTGATTGTACAAACCTAGTGACTCAAGTAGCTTTAAAAATCATTGATGTAATTTTCATATGTACCTGTGACACATAAAAATCTTCATCTGTGCAATGAGGTTTAAACATCACGTTTCATACCCTTCTTTTTCATCTTGATCAGCACTGCAGCCAGGTAAAGTAGTGTGGATTCAATCAGAGGTAATTTGTTGTCTCTCACTGCATTAGATAATTTGTTTCAAAAGGATTATTAGCATGGCTTTGTATACAGGAACAAGTAGTGATCCATTTCAAAATGGAGGCTTTGCTTATTCATGTATTAAATGCCTTACAGGTGAGGTCACTGGTATCATGAAACAATGACAGCATCTGCATTAATAAGGGTGAAAGACAAATACAAAAGAAATGGTAAAACCAAGAGAAAAGGCAAATTAAAAATGACTTTAAAGAAGGAAGATTTTAAGAAAAATAACACAGGAAAAATCATTGGGTATGGAAGGTGATAAATTTTTGTCCAGTCGGAAATTAAACTTGCTTACCAGGTAGCATATAAGCCAAGAACTTGAATACAGGTTGAGAAAAGAAATAAGGCTGTGGAGGGACTGAAGTATACAGTGGGCTCACCAAAACAAATTGTTCTCGTTTCAAGCACACAGTACTTGAACATTGAGTTGAATTGAATTTAATTAGCTTTACTGTCTCATGTACTCACATGAGTACAGTGAAAGATTTACAAGTTGCCACTTACGTGCCATCTTAGGTACAAAGGTACCTAGGTACAGATTCTTCAATACAAATTCTTAGGGGAAATAAAAGTAGAAAAAGTAAAAAAAAAAGTCCATCATTACAGATCATAAGAATGATTAGAAAATAAGAAATTCAGGATAACAGTCCTTCCAACCCAGTCCCAATCAGCATCTGGCCTCTAGTCCACACTGGCCTTTGATTCTAGACCATGCCAGGCTTCACCTTGAGGCTCTCGAAGCTGGGAGACCACTCTGGAATCATTTTGAGATCAGAGGCCCATGCTGAGACCATGCCTGGCCGAAAAACCGCCACACCGGGCAGCTGAGTGACCGCTGGGCTGGGCCGAACTGGGCAGAGCTGGGAGACCGCCACGCCAGGCCGCCAAGTGACCACCACACAAATGCAGATACAATTAAGTATCTAACAGAATTAAATATATTGCATTGGTGTTAAAACCATCAAAAGAGCAAGATCATAAACTGAACACTAATGTAAATTCAGCACATTTTGGGAAATGACTTGAATTAAATGTGCTTCCAGCTCTTTGAAGTTTCAATTCAGATTTAGCCTACTTACTGTAATGATTCCTGACAATTAAGATTCATTTTATGAAATGAGTTTTATAGTGAACAGCCTAATTCCACGACCCGAAAAGGATTTTTTTTTTATTCTAGCTTTGATACTTTGGAGATGAAATTTACCTAAACAATAAATGGGGGCATTTTGATCCTAATAACTTGAGAATATCATAAAGAGCGAGAGGCAGGGTGAGCCTCAGTTTACCAATGACCTGCTTCATATATGCAAGATAACTAATTTTACCATTACTCACGGTGAAGATTTTAAAAATTTTCATTGTTTTTAAACCAGAATCACCAAATTCTAGTTCTACATTGTTCAGCAAACATTGAAAACAAATGACATTCTTAGAACGACTGACAAATGATGATCGAAGTGCTATGTAAAATATTTATACTCAAGGGCCATACTTGCTACAATTTTGTACACACCCACTCATTCCATTTTTCTCCTCTCCTAAAGATGTTAATCAGAATGACACCCAAGAGAACATTATTCACACAGCAGGAAATTGGATGATTAGATTGAGTGAGGGGGTAGGACACCTGGCTGTGTCCAATATTCTCTAATTCTGTATTAGCCATTGTACAAAATATATCCTTTAATCATGCTCATGGACAAGATGTGATAAAATCTTAATACATGCAATCATAATGTATAAAGTTGATAACAAAAGAACACATTTGATTTGATTAGATTTATTGTTGTCACATGTACCTAAGTACAGCAAATTTTTTGTTTTGCATGCAGTACAGGCAGATCATATCATACAGATCATAGGGTGTTTAGACAGAGTGAGACACACAAGGTTATGGCTGCACAGGAGGTGCACAAAGCAAGGTCAACATTAGATTTGAAATTAGAGACGTCCATTCAGCAGTCTAATAGCAGGGAAGAAGCTGTTCTTGAACCTGTTGGAACATGTGTTTAAGCTTCTGTATCTTCTGCCTGACAGAAGAGGTTGGAAGAGAGTTTTACCAGGGTGGGAGTGGTCTTTGATGATTTTGGCAGTCTTTCCGCAGTAGACCTCTTCAGCAAATGATACAACCTTGAAGGAAACCATTCCAGCCATCTTGCCTGTGTCAGCTCTTCAAAACAGCTATTCAAATTAGTTTTACTCCCTTGAAAATATTTCCAAAATAACTACATTCACTTTCCTTTTGGAAGTTACAATTGAATCATCTTCGACCACCCCTTCAAGCAATGCATTTCAGGTTGCATCAACGTAATAAGTTAAAACATTCTTTTATCCTTCTTCTTCTTTCCAAGCTAAAACAGACTCCACATTATGTTTTAAGTGAATGAGAACAATTAATTATATTGATGCCAATTGAAACAAATGGTATACTGGCCTTAATTGCAAGAGGATTTGATGTTCAGAATAGGGATGTCTTAC